TACATTACATTTACATTACATTTACATTACATGTACATTACATACATTACATACATTACATACACATGTCCATTGCTGTGGCGAGGTGCTCTTTGAGGTGACGCCCTGGTGGGTGGTGAGCGCTTGCTGCCTCAGGTCGCCATGTGCTCCATGTCTCAAGCCACTCCAGTTCAAACCATTCATTCAAACACAAATCGCTGCACACACACACACAGGCTCATAATCTCACTCGTACTCGCTGTAGTCCAAGCACTGGAGAAAAGTGGTCCTATACCGTGATCGATCAGCTTGCTCAGAATTGTGCCTATGCATCACTTCTTTCTTTACTTGTGACCCATTGTTGCGTTGTGGACCGCGGCTGCTATATTTCTCCCATTGATTGTTTGCTTGATTGCTCAATTCGTAGGCTAGCCACTTGAACAATTGAAAAAGTTCTGGCTCACATGATGTGATCACAAGGATGCCAAGGGCCCGCGAGGGTCCAAGGTTCTGTAACTGCATGATCCGAATCCCGACGGTGCAGTATCTACATCGTTTCCAGAATGTAGTCAGAGTCGGGCACACGGGCCTGAATCGGAAACATATAGCTGCATGTAGCTTCTGCGTCGGAGACAGAATCGTCCTAAACCGGAGCAGAAATGTATGGACGGCCGTCTGGGCAACTTTTCCGTTTCTAAGGCACAATTCTGCAATCAGGAATTGCGAGTAATCTTGATTCCATTTTGATTGGGGGGGCCTGGCCATGAGCTTGGCAGCCAGCCAACTCGAATTGAACAGCTTGGGCAAGCACACTCGACGGAGCTTTTCCGCTGCTGGGCATCCTGACCAAGAACCATAACTTCATGAGCTCACATCACCTGCCGAAGTATGGTTTTTGAGCCTAAGGCTGCACTAAGGCGGCCGGAAGAAACCTCATGATATCTTCTGCTTCGCCATGCACAGAGCAAGCCGGCCCCCCACAACAGTATGCATCACGCAAGATCTACAGCTCAGTGCCCATCCAAGCGCTCCACGAGGTGCACATCGTGACCTGACACACAACCGGCATCTACAGATGCCAAGCCAAGCATCCTGAGTCTTGTGTCCAAGGGGCACAAACGAAAAGGTGCCACGTGAATGTCCTCACACTGGCGGCAGAATCTCCACCTTCTTGCGGGATGCGACCCTGCTGAACGGTCCTCCGAGTCACATCGGGCCTTGAGAGGATGCAACGTGACTCACCGCGCGGTGTATCAGAAAGACGTCGCAGACGGCCCAAGCTTCCAGCGACCTTCGCAAATGCCTCGAACGCAGAGCGATAATCTCGCAGCCTCGGCAGGCAAGCCCTGCTAGGCAATGTTTGTGACGCTAGTGCACATGACGTATGAACCATTCGATAATTTCAAAGGCATGGCATGTAGGTCCAGCCCCAGGCCGCAGCAAAGTCTCTGCCTGTTCTCCCCCCAAAGCTGAAAGTAGCCCAAAGTAGCCCCGGCTGGCACCACCCCTGGAAGCCCACTCGGTTGCTCTGTTTAAGCTTCTCTGCGCGCGGTGCAGAAAATAATTGTGAGGAAGACACAGTTGAGGCTTCGCCTTTTAGATTACAACACGGCCCAGCTCATCAAGGTCGTGCTCAGCTAGAGACAAAGCATTTTGATCTCCAGTCGCACGTGCGTGCTCATATCGCCGCATTGCGTCGACAAGCTGTTTGCCCGTGTCGCCCAGGTCTTCGTACCGTGCCTGATGCCCATCATCGCCTTCGACCATTTGCCTGAACTTCTGCAGCCTGTCACTTGCAGACATCGGCTCCGGAATGCTTGAGGGAATCACCTTGCCACTTGAGTCAACTTGAATATCGCCAACTGCGCCTAGCTGATCCCAAAGCTTGTTTCGCTCTGCTTTCGTTAACGTCAGAGACAACTCTCCCGCGTCCATGGACCAAATAAGATCATCCCCTCGGATGCTGTGGAAGAGTGGTCGGTCAAAAATGGTCACGCCTTTCACTTCCACGAGCAGTTGCGCGCCCCCTTTGGCCGCCTGGACCTTGATGTCCTTGCTGGTGATCCCTTCAGGCAAAGTCCACCAGCAGTAAACTTCGCCCCCTGCCTGTTCAAAGCGCGTAGGCTCACCCTTCTTGCTGGTTTGCAAACCTTTGAGCCCCTCCAGCGCTTGCATCTGAATGCGTTGCCGTTCGGCCTCCTCCTCCGCATCGAGCTGTCTTTCAAGACTCGTACGGCGATCTGGAGGCAGAGCACTCGTCTTGGGCTTGAAGCCGCTGAAGAGTGCATCTATCTCTGCCTTGTCTGCACTTGACAAGCCCACCCGGTCTACAGCAAGCTCCGGCGCTTTCTTCTTGACGACTAGGGATGGTAGAGGCTCATCATCTGTCACTTCCTTCTTGACCTCTGGGACATGCGTATTGATGGGATCCTGGCGCCCCAAAGCACGATCCTCCAAAACCCGCTCACGGTACTCGTTCTTGACGAGCTCATAGTTTGCGGTTTCCCTTTTCCGGTGCAGTGCTTGCTGCTTCTTGCTTGCCCGAACCTCTCGGAAAAAGGTGTCCATCAGCTCCACCTGGGCATCTGGCAAACCCATCTTGTGGTATGGTAGCTCAGAGATAGGTGTGTGCTCCTCCTTTTCACGGAGCTTGCTGTAGCCTTGGAAGGCCGCAAAGCCTTTCTTGTTGTTCACATCCTTCGCGTCAAAAGCACGTGGGATGGAGCTAAAATCAACATCGCCCTTGACAGGCTCTCGCAGCTTCTCCTTGGCGGACTTGGCCCTGGCAGGAGGCTGGCGCTCTCCTTGAAGCTGGTCCAGGTCAGACAGTAAGCCTTTGGCCTCTTGGCTCCTGGGGTCAACCTCCAAGCACCTCAGAACCATCTCCCTAGCTTCGTCGTATCTTCGCAAGCTTTTCAAGGCCACAGCTCCCCGCAGCAAGGCCTTGTCATGCGTGGGCTTCTGCTTCAGCGCTGCCTGGCAGTCCTCCAGGGCATCGCCCCAGCGCTCGAGCCGAAGCTGTGACTCTGCCCTGTTCGCATAGAGCGTGACAGACAGCTGCAGGCTGGTGCTTGGAAGGGCGCCGGTGGCCTTCTGCAAGGTGAGCAGGGCCCGGGACCACTTGGCTGCCGCCTCCTTGTAGGAGCGTGCAGAGAACAAGGTGTTTCCCTGCTCTTTCAGAGCCGAGGCTGCCATCTCGATTGCGCTCTCGAGGGAGTCGGAGCCCTGAACTTGGGGAATCGGGGGCAGGCCGGTGAACTTCTTCCATCCGGCTGCAGGTGGCTGCAGGGCCTCCGACTGAACCGCATAGAGGGGCTTCCGGTTTTGTCCGAGGATCCAGCCATATGAGCTGTCTCCCGTCTTCTGGCTTTTGTGAGGCTCACGGGAAAGCATGCATCTCCGGTCGTTCTCAAAGACTGGCGCTTCATGCCAAACTCTGCTTGTGCGGATGTACAGGCCGTCCACATCGTCGGAACCTGCACCACACACAACGACTGCTACGCAGCTTCCAGCGCTTGTCGCCATTGCCAGCGGCTTGTTCTCGAGCCATGCCGCTGCAGCTTGGATCTGTACATGCATCTTTGCAATCGCAAATTCAGGCTCAGCTGCCCTTGCAGAATGCCCTTCTTGCATTTGGGAAGGCCTCCATCCGCCGAAGTGCTGGGGCTTGCCGGGTACCTGCTTGGCAAGAGTTGTAAAATCTTGCCATGTTGCTTCACAAGACTTCCCTCGCGGCATCTTAAGACAAGCCACGCCCTCAGCACAATGAGATGTACAGGCGACTCACCACGCCTGCTGCCAGGGCTTTTCTGACGACACACAGGCTTCGTCGCAGCAGCCTGGGCAAGTTGCCACAGCCAGCGCCTTGGCGAGCACGGCATGTGCACCACGGCATGTGCACCACGGCAACTAAATTTCAAACGCTGTTCGTTCTGCAATTCCATTGCCATGCGTCGCCACCGTTAGTCTCAAGTGCCGACCCATCACGTGCCACAAGCCAGCTTCCATCAAGGGTTCGAAACCTCTCGGCACAAACTGGTCAAAGCAAACTCCAGCAAGGCTGCAAACCATGGCGCTGCAGCAACTGCTGGCAGCCTGCGCCTCGTCGCAACCGCAATGCCTGAAGTGGTACCAGAGCTTTCAATAACAATAACAATAATAATAATAATAATAATAATAATAATAATAGTAATAGTAATGATTGTGATAGTAATGGTAATTTGGCTCTTTGTTGTGCCTCCCGGGCATCCCACCTGAAGCGCCAGCCTTGCTGCCCGGCGCCTCTTTCCTCGCACGTGTGCCTTATGCAATGACTGGCGATGCCGGGCTCTGAGAGCCGGCATCTTGCCCAGCTGAAAGGAACTCTAAGTCAACAGCCGCCCACGCGAGACCCTGCAGTTTGTGTGCGCCTCTGCATGCCTGCCGTCGGCGGGGCTCTCAAACATGTACTGAGCTTGTCATGCTAACGCATTCCCTATGGTCACAAGCACAACGAACATCCCACCGAAAGCAGCAGACGCTACTGAGCTTGTGCAGAGAAGCTGTGGCACGCCGAGTTCCTCATTGGCTCAGTACTACATCGACCCACGAAGATGCCACATTCCACGCTGCGTAACGGAATCGTATGCCGGCTTTTCTTTCTTCGCTCCTTATAGTCTGGTCATTGACGGTAACCTATCAAGCTTATCAGGAACTGCACTCAACGCTCTAACTTGAACGGAATGCAGTGGACAAGCTCACGCAGCACAACATTCAAAAGATGCAGCACATTCTTCAAGGATGTCATACTCAACCTATGATCGTGCCAATCTTGATGTGGGGGGTGTGCTGCCTCAAATTATCTGACCAGCACGCATGGCACGCCAGTGTGAGCACGCGCAAGGAGGCCATTGTCGCAAGCACGTGCCCTACAAGAAGAACGCCGCAGATGCTTACAACAGAAGCTCTGTGGAGTGACTGAAACTCCACCGAGTCGGCTGTCAAGCCCAACTTTGTACACCCTCCTTGCCTGCTGTCACTTGCTAAACCCTCGCACTTGTACTGCGATGAAATCCACGATCGTTCTGCCTGAGAGACGCGCATTCCGCGGAAAGGAAAGCGCACCGCAGGTTGCAGAGATGCCACGTCCTTGCCCATGCGAAGTTGAGCAATCCAAGAGGCCCAACTTCCTCGTCAGTTAGCAGCGGCTGCCGCAGCCTTAATCTCAGGAAGACCAGGGACAGATCAGCCGATCTAGCTTCTTCATGTCCAATTCCGGCCGTCGTGCGAGATTCCGAAAGATGTCTGATGCACTTGCTGCGTGCCGATGCTACCCTTGCCTGAGCATGCTTGAGAAAAACTGTATACTTGCTGCGTTGCAGGTTGCTGTTCAATGCCGTGCTGTCACACTTTACCCACCAAAAGACTGGTCATCTGCTGGGTGTTGCCTGGATACAACAAGATAGCTTTGTTTTGCTGTCGCTTTGCTGGCGCTGTTCTGCCATTCGCATCCAGCCCTCCAGATCTCAGTTAGATTCGAAACTGCAAGGTGCACAAGACAGAAAATCAAACTCCAACACGACAAAAACCACAGCTGCCAGATGAGCTGAAAGGCGTCGCATTTCTAAAGTTGCCTTCGCCCGTGCCTCCAGCGAGGTCGATAATGGCTCCCTTCGCTCGAACGAACCCGTGTGAAATCTGTGTACAAGGCCTGAGTCGTCCTGGGCGGCGACGCGCCGTTTCCGCTTGGCCACATTGACTCTGGCCAAAGAAACAGCATCCTGAAAGAAATGATCTTGGGCTAGTTTTGAACAGAAACTGCCTGCAGAACATTGCTGAGCTCGCGTCGTCCAAACCTTAAGGCCACGTCACGCACGCAGATCACTACCATGCAAACTTGAACAGACCTACCAATTGTCAACCGACTTTGAAAGAAAAAATGAATCTGACAACCAAGAACTGATCATGAACGCCGGCTGGTCGAGGAGAGGCTTGGACCCCGTTCCGAAATGCTCCTCAACGCAATGCGAAACACATGAAGCAGCAACGTGTGCAGTCAGCTTGCCCTGGCTCCTCCAACAGCAGTCGGACTCGACTTTTCGCCTCCGCCACGATGCAGGACATGTTGCGTTTTCGCCACCTCGACATCCATGGCATGCCGTGCAACTAGCTTGATCTAGCTTGCTTCCACATCTCTCAAAGCTGCGAACAAACTGCCAACGCCTCAGACCTCTGCCTGGTGGACATCCAGAGTGGACGGAAACAGCGACCCCGAATATTGTAGGTGGTGCCCGTCCGGGTATGCGCCGGGTGCCCGGGTATGCGCCGGGTATGCGCCGGGTATGCGCCGGGTGCCCGGGTATGCGCCGGGTATGCGCCGGGTGCCCGGGTATGCGCCGGGTGCCCGGGCATGCGCCGGGTGCCCGGGTATGCGCCGGGTATGCGCCGGGTGCCCGGGTATGCGCCGGATATGCCCGGGTATGCGCTGGGTATGCGCCGGGTGCCCGGGTATGCGCCGGGTATGCGCCGGGTATGCGCCGGGTGCCCGGGCAGTGGGTATGCGCCGGGTGCCCGGGTATGCGCCAAGTATGCGCTGGGTGCCCCCCCCCCCCCTGTCTTCATTTTCACCCCCTGTAAGGGCCTACCCAGGCAATGCCTAAGCCTTTTAAGGATAAAAGGGGAAAAACCTGTATGTTTTAAACTTGGGTTCTTCCAAAACCCCTTGAGGCCAATAAAGGAAAAACCTGTGTGCTTCAAACTTGGGTTCCGCACAAGAAGCTATGGCCATCCTTTTCGTGGCAAAGGTCGCTGGGAGTCTGCAGATGGTCAAAACTCGTGCGTGAGGGTATCCAGGGTTCTTGCTAAGTCTACATTGCTGTAAACCTATGGTCGAGGAATTATTTTAATTGTTTTTTGCCTTTCAACCTTTTTTTTTTTGGGGGGGGGGCCTCCCTATTGCAAGATAGAGGAAATCCAAAGAAAATAGAGGTTTTCCTGTTCAAATCCAAAGAAAATAGAGGTTTTCCTATGAAAATCCAAAGAGAAGAGGTTTTCCTGTTAACATCCAGAGAAAATAGCGGTTTTCCCATCAAAATCCGAAGAGAATGGAGGTTTTCCTCTTGAAATCTAAAGAAATAGAGGTTTTCCGCATAGAGTACAAAGGAAATACAGGTTCTATTCTTAACATACAAAGGGAATGCGGGTATTCCTATTCAAATACCAAGGAAACTTAGGGTTTTGTCCGTGAAAGGTAGGATTTTACCATGTTAAAAGTGAAAGGAGATAGAGGTTATCCATAGAAGGCGGGGAAAGAGCGTTTGCCTATGCAATACACAAGAAACTAGAGGTTGTACTACCAACAGAAACAGAAAGAGTTTTCCAAACAAAAGGAAAAGAGCTTTAAAATCGAAGGACACATAATTAGGGCTTCTAAACCAGAGAGACGCATAGAGGTTTGCTGTAGTTACGTAACAAATATAGGGTTTACTTTGTTGGACTTGCACGAACGAACGGCATGTATGTATATGCTTTGAAGACAGCTTGCGCGGCTTTTAACAAAGGAGGGGATTGGGAGGGAGCGCAGCCACCCCCCCCCCCCCCATTTGCAAAACACGATTCTCGCATGATGGGTTTTCAAAATGTATGAATAAAGCGGGGAGGTTGGGTGGGGGGGGGGGGGCGAGGCCCCCAAATTTGCAAACACGATTCTGGCATGATGGATTTGCAACATTTTAATGTATGCATATGGCATATGCTTTGAAGCAAGCTTGCTTGGCTCAAAAAAAACGGGGGGGTTGGGGGGGGGGGAGCCCCCCCATTTGCAAACACGATGCTCGCATGATGGGTTGCCGAAAATGTATGCATATGCGTTGAAGCAAGCTTGCGCGGCTAAAAATAAAGCAGGGTTGGGGAGCCCCCCCCCCCCGCATTTTGCAAACACGACTTTCGCATGATGGATTTCCAACAATGTATGCACATGCTTTGAAACAAACTCGTGCGTACTCGTGCGTACTCGTGCGCAGTCGGGGGTACTCGGGCGTACTCGAGCGTACTCGGGCGTACTCGGGCGTACTCGGCGTACTCGGGCGTACTCGGGCGTACTCGGGCGTACTCGTGCGTACTCGTGCGTACTCGTGCGTACTCGTGCGTACTCGGGCGTACTCGTGCGTACTCGTGCGTACTCGGGCGTACTCGTGCGTACTCGGGCGTACTCGTGCGTACTCGTGCGTACTCGTGCGTACTCGGGCGTACTCGGGCGTACTCGGCGTACTCGTACTCGGGCGTACTCGTGCGTACTCGGGCGTACTCGTGCGTACTCGTGCGTACTCGTGCGTACTCGGGCGTACTCGGGCGTACTCGGGCGTACTCGTGCGTACTCGGGCGTACTCGTGCATACTCGGGCGTACTCGTGCGTACTCGGGCGTACTCGTGCGTACTCGGGCGTACTCGTGCGTACTCGGGCGTACTCGTGCGTACTCCGACGCGGTCGCCCATCCCTGCCGCAATGTGGACATCGACCCTCCCCAGCTGTCCCAAACAGATCGCCATCACATGGGAGCAAAGCGGCTCAGTAAGTAAGTCCCGCAGCATCTCAATGGCAGTCTTATCCAAGTCATGCACCTTAGCATGAGTCTCGAAGCTAGTCGCCTCGCCGCACAGAGCTTCAGGCTACCCAGGTGAGGCATAGTAAAAAGAATCGAAGAGCTTTGCTAGTTGCAGTGGGCCGTTCAGATGAGGCACGCTGCCAAAGGGCAGCACAATCACGTCCACTGGATTTCCAGCCTCCTCTTCTTGCAAGCGTTTGTTCTCGACCTAGACGAAAGTGCCGAAAACAGCGCAAAGTGCAACTTGCTGCTGCAAGTGTACAGAACGTGCCAGCAAATCCAGCCGCTTAGGGAGGACGGACGCACAGAACCGTGCAGACATGAAAGGAGGGCGCAAACTCCAGCATCAACTTGCTGTGGTGCAATGTAGCTGCATCACAGGGGCTTGTTATTCCTCAATAATGGCGCAGTGGGCTTGACAGACCAACCCAAAACTAAACAAGTTGTTACCCTCATGTACCCTCTGTATCCTCTGTAAACAAGCTTAACAAACATCTGCTAATCCTGCAGGTCATGTCAGGATACAGTTCCATGAGTGTGTTTTCGAAATCTTGTAGTGATAGTGCGCTCGACGCAATCTGGAGACATGCGGCACGTGGAATGCACCAGATGCTATCACTGCCCAGAACACAACACATTCGATAGCCCTGTTGCAACATTAGTTTAATATAAAAACAGTCGCCTCTTCCATGAAGTGGTCGGCACTCGCAAAGGACAAAGGCCCTCTGAACTCGATAACCAGAACGCCTGCAGACAGCAACGATGCAGCTAGGCCCGGGTGCCGGGTAACATACTATAATTATTAATCATACCTTTATTATCCTTCTTATTACTATTATTGCTATTATGAAAAATCGAGCCTTGCCTGGGTAGGTGCGCCCTTCCGGCCAGACCTCCTGGTCACGCCAAATGTTGCCCAAAGACTCGATGGAACCAAGTTTCACCACCCTGCGGGAAGGCACATCTGCAGAGAGCTGCCCGGTGGTATATTACTACTATTCTTATTATAAGTATGATTAGTATTATTAGTATTATTAGTATTATTAGTATTATTAGTATTATTAGTATTATGAGTATTACTAGAATTATTCGTATTTTTTAGTATTATTAGTATTATTAGTATTCTTAGTATTATTAGTCTTAAGTAGTATTATTATTAGTAATAATCAGATCATTATTATTCTTCTTATTGAGATTATTATTGGTATTTATTGAGAACTATATGTAGATATATGTTTGTACCCGTATGACGACAGAGTCGGGGAGGCGCCTGGGCACCGCAGCATCGTGGACAATCATGAGCACGGAAACGAAGACGGCTAAGCCGATGCCCCACAGAACACCTTCAGGGTTTAGGGTTTAGGGTTTAGGGTTTAGGGTTTAGGGTTTAGGGTTTAGGGTTTAGGGTTTAGGGTTTAGGGTTTAGGGTTTAGGGTTTAGGGCACAGGGTGTAACGATCTGGATGGAACAAACGCAAGAAAAACCACAAAGAGCTGGTGTGAAGCAGTTGCCTTTGAAGATTGTGAAAAGAAAGGCGATCCACCAAACAATAAAGTCTCGCTTCATACCACCCCGATGGTATGGCCTTGGTGCAACCCTGGCAGCATACACAAAAGCCTACTGAGGCATAGTTGGGATGTTCCCCTTTATATTAGCACTTTTAGCAGTCCGTTTTAAGGATGATCGTACCCCCAATAAAAATCACCCGTAAGGACTGCTAGTATAAGGGGGGAGCATCCCAAATAATGTTTAGGGTTCAGAGTTTAGGGTTTAGGGTTTAGGGTTTAGGGTTTAGGGTTTAGGGTTTAGGGTTTAGGGTTTAGGGTTTAGGGTTTAGGGTTTAGGGTTTAGGGTTTAGGGTTTAGGGTTTAGGGCGACAACGAGGCATCCTAACACTCCAAGTCGCTTCCATGAGCTCCAGAGTGTCTTGGGGGTGTGCAGGTCCACCAGTTGCCAGGTCGAGCGCAGGATGATTGCTGCCAGCGTCGCCTTTGGAGCACCCTAGCTTAGGGTTTGGGGTTTAGGGTTTAGGGTTTAGGGTCTAGGGTTTAGGGTTTAGGGTTTAGGGTTTAGGGTTTAGGGTTTAGGGTTTAGGGTTTAGGGTTTAGGGTTTAGGGTTCAGGGTTTAGGGTTTAGGGTTCAGGGTTGTTTTTGCCACCCGCCTAGCTGATGCAGAACATCACACTGCAGGGGAGGGTTTAGGGGTTAGGGTTTAAGGTTTAGGGCTCAGGGTTTGTGAAGCACTGCAAGTCCACTTGGCAGTTTCATGTCAAGATGCTTCCGCACCTGACTCGTTGGCATAAACAAAGCATTTTCACTACTGCATGTCCGATCCCACAGCCGGATGTCAATCAGTCTCTTGAGGTGTTGTCGGCTTTAGCATCCTTCCAAAATCCCTACGCATACGTCCCAAGCTTGTTATGCATGCTGTGGTATTTTGACATCTCCTGGCGAAAGCTCCCACTGGCTGCGACAACGCTGAAAGCTGGCGTCGATTTGCCAGTTGTCATCTATATGCTGATGTGTGGCCCTGCAACGGCCGCATTCTCTCAACAAACCCTCGACCGTTACAACTTCTGAAAAGACGGCAGAACAAGCTATGCCTGTGCATTCTGCAGAAGCTCTGCAGCTTTGTGGCTTTCGAAGCGGAACGTGGCTAGAAGACTGAACATGTTGAACAATCGAATCTACATTGGACGCTACAACTGCATCCCTCACTCACTCACTCGCTCGCTCGCTCACACAGACACACCTGCGCACCCGCGCACGCGCACACACACGCGCAACACGCACACGCACACGCGCACATCATCTCGCCTCTCCCCCTTAACAATGACACCTCCACAGAGCATCCTGACAGCTTCTGTGCGGGAAACGTCTAGGCTGCTGCCCGAAGGGAGCATCTCTTCTATGGAATGCGGGAGTTGATTGTAATTTCAAGCCGACGAAAAGCCGAGGATACAGATTGAACCAATTTTGCGGATGTGAAAGGCGGGCAGCTTGTAAACAGGACAGCGACCTGATGCGACACAGTTTGCACCAAAGTTTCTTACATGCGGTATTTGGATGCGCAGTCAGGTCTACACCTTCCAAAAATGTGCACGAGACAACCAGCTACATAGCTAGGGCAGCTAGGGCATATCGGATGGTCAAAACTAAAGACTATGTTCTTGTGCACCCACACAGCACATGACAGACTGCGCCTCGCCTTGGGAAGGTAATACAAGATGGGGGTCAGAAACTGCAAGCTCGTACCAACCACAACCAGCTTCATCAAGCCGCTCATCCTTAGAATTCCGAGAGCAGCACCGACAAAAAACGGACGGCTGTTGGGAACTGAGAATGCCTGAGGAGCAAAAGCGGGGAGGTTGGCTAATCTTGATTGGGCTTGCCTTTAAGATACGGGGCGAGTGGCCATGGAACTTCCAAGTTTCACCGTCTACCTCGAAATTCTTTCGGGCCCTTTCGGGACACGGCCGCTTGGCCGCTTCCTTAGGGCCCTGAGTGGCCTGGGGACCAAATGGTGGGTTGACCGCGGGAGACCGAAATCAGAAGAAGCCCACCAGTCCTGAGGTCTTCGAGGGTACCCAAAGCCTTTTGCGAGGTTGCCTTCCCCATCCGATCCAGTAACTTCGTGCACATGATGGGCCGAAACAATTCGGAAACACGGCAAAGACCCTGTGATCGGCGGCTGGCCGGAAAGGCGTCGGTCCCAGAGTGAAAGGTTGCCCAGACACAGCTCATTGCGCCTGCAGACCTTCCATACACAATCCTGCTGGATGCTCCAAAACGCTGGGTTGAGCTCCAGCTGTTGACAATAGCTTGCCTCAGTTCCTACATGCCATCCCAAACGTACACAGACCGAATACCTGCTTCCACCTTCTTTCCATCTTGGCATTGCCGAACTTCAACCATGACTCTTACCCGACGACCTCTTCTCTCCGTCAACGTCTCCGATTCCGCTCGTCTTGCGCCAGAAGACTTCGTAGCTCAACTCGGGGTTTCAGACCATCTTGGAATCGCAGCATTTCCTGGTCCATCCTGGGCCGCATCGATGCGATCTACGGCTCCATCGAGTGCCAGCAGAGCGGCGTGCTGCACGTGCACATGCAGGTCTTCGTCCAGTGCCTGCACCAGTTTCTGCCCCTGGCCAAGCTCGCAGAAGCCGGCTCGGAGCGCCTCCGCGTGCTCCTTCAGCGCTACGCCTCGTACACGCGTGAGGCGGACGGTCTACTGCGACCCGGCGGCATGGCGGGCGAAAACGAGATCGAGGCAGACTGGCCGGAGTACCGCTCCTCCACCTGGGCCCTGAGCCGCCCAAAGTATCAGAGCGACGAGGCGCTCGACGCGGACGCCTGGCGAGGGCGCTTCCTGGAGGAGGACGTGGAGGCTCTTCAGCAGCTCAAGCAGCACCACGTCCACCTTCCGTGTCCGAGTGCGCCGGACGGCCCGCGCCTGCCCCTGAAGCATTGCCGGGACCCGCGAGATCCCACGCGCTGCAAGGCCGGCTTTCCCAGAGGAGCGGCGCAAATGACGGGGACCCCTTTGTTGATCTGCAAGGGTCTCGGAGAAGAGCTGGGCCTGCCCGTCAAAGGCAAGAAGAGCGCGCTGGGCACGCTCCACGGCCCCGTCAACGACCCGGACCTCAACGGAACGCACCCTGCGCTCCTGGCGGCCCTCCGAGCCCTGCTTTCGGTAAAATCCCCCTGCATTCTTACCGGTGACTGCTCCTCGGTACCGTGTCTCTGAGCGCTGCAAAATGCTGCGAGCCCTTCCTCCCCCTTCTGCCCGGAACTTTGAGAAGGGCTTTGTTATAGCTTCCTTAGATCCACAAAGCACCGAATTCGCCCGGCCATGAGTCCAACTTTCCATGGCGCCGAACTTTGCCGAACTTTGGCAAACTTCCTTCGCTCCCCGGCTTTCGGTCGCAGCCGCCTTTGGACCACAGGTTTCTGGGGTTTTCCCGTCCATCATTCCTCTCCCCTCCATGTTTCCTCTTCCGCCAATGTCCCTTGCAGCCCCGGCAGCTCCTGGCGGAAACTCGTGAGAGTAAGAGCTAGGACCGGAACATCCTGGGAGATGACCTGCGAGCAAGTATACGCAAGGAAAGCCTGAGCGATACCAAAGGAGAAGAGTTCCCCAGAGGAGACTGACGGCGGCGGGGGTGATCGTGGACAACCCGACCGAGGCGAAACCGGACATCATGGAAAAGCGAGACGAGACGAATCCTCCACTACGTAGCAAGGTTCAGGGTCATTGGAGTCATGCATGTCTCGAGGCCCACTGCCCTTTGACGAGCAATCTTGAGACGATGAAGAGCCACGGCTGGAGCAAAGAAGGCAGACCCTGATGCAGCCGGGCTGGCAAATTCTCCAGCCCAGACAAAGCGTGTGTGCAGATTAGGCCATGTGAAGGGCCACCAACTTTGCGAGCACAGCCTTCAACAAACCAGGATATGCACAAGGCCACGGTGCATATTTGGATAGGGTGGACTGGCCCCGTGTCCTGAATCTTCGACAACTGCACAGGGAGCCTGCCAGTGACTAACCCCTGCATGCCTGATGCCCCATAATCTCTCTTACCGGCTCAATGCTGTTCGAATTGCTGAGGATGGTCAACTTGTTGGGAGAGCTTGGCCGACAACAGGTTTGCCCTTGCCCGGGCCATTGGTAAACAAAGCGCTCCGCGCCCCGCACTCGGTAGAGCCGAATTTGCAGCCACCTAAAAGAAGTACAGTCTCGAAACGTCTTGATCTCACAAACATGCCTTCTAGTGCCAGGGCTCTGGGTTTTGACTCCGACTTCGGAAGCCAGACTCGTTCTGCTCAGCGAGCCACTCGGCGTGAAAGAGCCATAGAATGATCCACACACCCCCGCCATGCCAAGGGCAAACATTTCTTGACCTAAGCTTTCACTTTGGACGGTCGCACCGAACTTCGACAGGAAGCAGCTGGTACTTCCTGCTGGGGCCAAGACTGGCATCAATGTGGTAGCCGTGCTGGAGCGCCTGTTTCTTCGATGTTGCATATGTCGTAAGAAAAGAGGTGAGTGCCACCAGAAAGCCGCCCATGCAGAATTCCTGCAACACAGAACACATCTGGGTGTACTCACGAGCCGCTGAAGACGTGAAGACAGCCACTAGTCCTTCAAGCGGAACTGCGTGTGAAGCATCGTTCTGAGTTCTCACCCATCCGAAACAATCTCTGGTTTGCTGCTCTGAAGCACTTCTGCTGGGCTGCACACTGTGAAGCAGGGTAGTCCCAGGCGGGCATGAAGCGCGGCAAACCGGGTGGAATATCACCCACCACCGGCAACCTCTGTCCCATAGCAAGTATTGGAGGGTTTGCACAACACGAGTGCACCGAAACCAAGACATCCACAAGTCAAGCCTTGTTTCGCCGTCATCAAGGGAAGTGCAATAAGCGAAGATTATGCTGATGCCGACGAGGACTAGCTCCTTCATTTCCTTCTCAAAATCAACTTTGTGTATTTTCTGGTGGGCGTGGGCGGGCAGGGCAGTGCAGGTGCCTGTAATCATGGCTTAGCATCTAAAAAAAGATAACAGTGGCAACTGTGCCGACAGCGACCAGGCGACAGATGCAATCTTCGCGGGGATCATCCAGCTTGGGTGAGGTCCAGGCTTCTTTAACTCATTGACCAAGTGCTTCTTAAGCCACATCAGCAACTGCAACACCATCATCATCGCCTGAGCACTCTGCTGGCAGGTGCTCAGGTGCAAAGAAACTATGCAAGAAACAACAAAGAAAAAAGGAGAGTACGTAGAGCACGTTGAACACGCTGAACCGGTTAGTCTTGACAGCTTTTCTGCTCGAAATTTGCTGAGAGACCAATCCCCAAACAGTTCCAAGGATGTGCGTTTCTGGCAGCGCACCAATGATTGCGCTAACTTGGTTGGTGAAGCCTCGGATGGCTGGTCACAATACACAGCGCAAATACACGAGAACACTCACCATCACTCACCCTTGCTTGAGCTTCATGTCACCTTCCTCTTTGTAGCCTTCTGATATTGCTGAAGCTGCTTGCGAAGCCTGCTGAAGTAACCAGGCAACCAATTGCGTGTCGCATCTTCCTGAAGTGTATCAAGAAACGCCAACAAGAAAGAAACGTGCTCCAACCTCCCGAGGCCTGGTGGTCATCACTAGCGTATGTTGGCAACATCTGCTCATGCAAGTCTAGCCAGCCAGCAATTGCACACATGGAGGGAACACCACCAGATCTGAGACCAAGATTCATCAGGCCCAATAAGTTTCTCAGCTGGCCAACGAGGATGAGCACCTCACCACTGCATGAAGTCAGATCAAGCCTGTGACTGAGATTTTGCCTAACATCTGCAGGTCGCGCTTTGCGTAGGCACCGGGCAGAACCGCCAGTGACGAATCCACTGATCAGCGACTGAGACAGGAAACGAACTGCATAGGCCGCTTGGCAAAGTCCCATCGCAACCAACCAGCCTCACAAGTCAAAAAGCTGGTATGGGGTGAGTTGGGGCTGGGTGAGTTAGCGTGGTGCGCTGAAGCCTCCGCTAATCAAAGCCAATAAAGAAGCCAATTCTGTCCGTTCATCTTCATCATGCCAGTACTGCAGCTGGTCCTTGGCGTGCGAACTTGCCTGAAGCCCTGAAGCCCTCGAACCAAACAACCTCTGCCCAGGGTCGGCCAGCAGAATAGCTGCAATAGCACCTGCAGGGTGCGAGCGCAAAGTGCGAACCATACAAATATCCTGCAGCACCCGCCCCGCCAGATGAAATCGAGGCATGAGGCGACGTCCCAAGCATTGCGTAGACAAACGGTGGCACGAAGGCACAATAAGGTCCTCAACTGCAATGACGACGGAAATGAGAAAACATCTGTGCAGCCCATGTTGAAGACGTGGGCCTTCCCTTCACCCTAGATGGACATGGGGGATGGGAAATGTTAACCGTTCATCCTAGCAGTCGGATGGGAATGAAAAAGGAGAAGGGAGGGACGAAACCTAGAGGAGGCGGAGATCATGATGATGATGATGATGATGATGATGAGGGCAACAGAACGATTAATCAAAAAAACACGTGGGTGAAAAATCCGAACCTTGTGCCGGGGCAGAAGCAAGCTGCAAGACATTCAAGAGAGGACTCTGAGGTTTCCACCCAGAGTCCCCTTGCCTGGGAAGCGCAGGATAAGTCTGGCGAGCTTCCAGGACCTCGAACGACGCACGCGGAGGCCAGCGGGTGAGCTTCCAAGAGCTTGACCCAAGCGGAGCCAGGAGGGTCGAGGAAGCCGCCAGGCGACAGGCACCCAAGCATGGCGCGAGCGATTTTCACGCCGCAAAACCACGATTGGCTTTCATTGCCGTGGGCTCCCCTTCCACTCCCTTTCCCCTCTTCCCCCCCCCCTTTCCCACCCCTCCCACCCCATCGCAAAAAGTGTACAAGCAGCAAGGAAAAGTAGTAGCAACAGCAGTAGTAACAGCAGTATTAAGAGCAGCAGTAACAGTAGCAACAGTAACAGTAGTACAGCAGTACTTGTAGGAATAGTAGCACGAAAGGGGTGGGGGTGGACAGGGATTTGCCGCAGTTGTTGTTTTTTGAACCTCAGGTGCGAATCGCAGTGCTTGAGTTTCGTTGTGACTTGAGAATTCAACTAGATGGCCTTGAGCGAACCGGAAATGGCCACTGAAACTATGCCAGCACGAAAGCACCAACCAGTTCTTGGACTCGGCATTTCAAGCTGGCAGCAGCGCATGTGGCACGGGGGGGGTGTTGCGCAGTGACGCAGGGAACCGACCCACCTCTAGGAACATACGACAGAACGGAATCGAGTCCTTGAATAACCTTCGTGGTTGCAATGGCAGCATGGGCCAGCGTCTGCACCTTAAGTTCTGCAAAAATTAAACACAGGTTCACATCAGGTCATGGCAAATGAGCACCCCACCAGGCAAATGAGGGCGATAGTGGCGCCACCAATAAAATCGTAGAAGAAGTCCTGGGCACGTGTGCTCGAACAACAACACCTGGGAAGTGTGTGCATATTCTTTTGCCTTAACATGCATACAATGTAACACGCTTGTCTCAAATGGGGCTCTCGTCGAAAATCATAATGCGGCAGCCATCCGAGAACAGGAACTCGCGCGATTATGCCCTGCCTCAGTTGCCAACTGTATTGCACCATGTCGAAAGCAAACACTTTTTGATGTCGCATGCACAAGAACCCATGTGTCCTGCAAGTCTGCAGCAATAAGCCCAACAGGAGAGACAGTGTCTTTGCCAAGCAGGACTTCTTTCATGAACGTGCGGAACGCACGTAAGATGGCACATGTTTGCCACATCCACCAGCTTCAGTTGAGTTGCTGCACGCATTGGAACGTACACGTCTCGGAAGAAACCTGGAGTGCCGAGCCATACCATAGAAGACAGAATCCACGACAAAAACGAGCACGTTTACGCCGTACCCTCGTTCCCACAGAAGAAGATTATCAGATCAACGTCCAAGGCCTGCGGGCCAGGGATTTTTTCATCTGCCGGAAGCCGCGGCATCACCTTGGACACATGGTTTTGTGTACCTGGGCTCCTCAGCACACACTTCTAAGGCAAGGCACAAGGTCAGCTATGCGGGAAATTTTTCGTTCCTCTGGCATTCCTCGAGGAGACAGCGGGTCCTGACAACACCCCAGCCAGGCAGCTCTTCATGCTCAGCTTAAAATGCACGCAATGTCTTGTCTTCGTCTCTCCAGGTAGATCCTGTGACTTGTTGGGGAGCTGTGAAAGGTTCGCCGGAACGCTGAGGTTGCGGGCGGCCTTTTTCAGGCCACCGGCGTTCCCACCAGCGGCTGCCATAATGCCTCAACACGGCCAGGGCTGTTCCAATGGCTCCTAACTGTCCTAACCCATATGCACAAATGACTTGCGGCTGCACTTTGATGTCTCAACCTTTTTCTAAAAACTCGTCTTGTCACATTGGCAATGCAGTCAAGCATCCAGTCAGGCTAGCACGCCAAGTGGAACGTTTGAGCCCAAGGACTTCACAAAAACACAGATGCTGTCCAGCGCATGTCATACACATCCGTATGTCAATATGAGGCCTTGCATTATGAAAGCCTCCAATGCGCAAAATACTTCACTCACGTTTGGAACTGTGTGGTTCTCGTGCTGCTGTCGCCAAGCTTCACATGAGTTCGGACTACCTGGTAACCAGCAGAATTTCGTCCATGGTCCTCCCACCACGCTCAGACTCTCTCCGTCAAATCTTGCACAAATTAAAGGAACCGGCACTGCCTACGCAGCGAACAGCAAAGCATCGGCATGTTTGTCAACGATCAAGGTTGCAGAGCCAACCGGCCTGCTTGGATGATTGGGCCAAGTGTTGATTTCAGGATCGGCCCCAAGCGAACAATTCCATGGCGTTCGTTTCAATCTTCACTAGCTATACTGGCCGAACTCATTGCAGTTTCGCAGAACACAGCAAGTCTGGCAAGGCACCGGCAAGCAAAAGAAATATCCACGTGCATTGCAACCAACTCGGTATTTGCAAACGGACGAATGTTCCGATTTCCTTCCCATTCAACGCTAGTGCTGCCGTGGCGTCACAAAACAAGCAGGCCTTCTTGGATGCAAACTTTTTCAGGCATCCTGAAGCAGAAAGCGAAACATCATATCACATGACGTGCAAGCACACAACACAACATTTCCAGCCTGTGCCATGCCATAGCCGCATGGACAAATGTTCCTCAAATTGGTTTGAATATTGAAACGTGGGATTGATGGAAATATGCGTTGTTCAGTCAGCTGTCGCTTGGATATCATGCCGGACCATGGGCATACTGTTGTGCGCTGGAGGGCCAATGAATCAACCCACAATCAATATCAAACTTCCTTGAGCAAACGACCATATGTTTGTTCTGGAGAAATCTGCCAACGAACCTGAGCTTCGCATGGACATGATCATCACTAGGTACCTGTTTAGTTGTTTGTTGTGTGTGTGTTTTTTGTTGCCTGTGTGATAGCGTCAAGACCATGCCAGCGGTACAGTCTTCAAGGCCCTAAACCTCAAGCGGCTGGGCCATCAACAAATTCGAGCACGGTGTCCTGGGGTGCCCGTGCTCGGGAAGTATGCAGCCGTTCGCACTTGCACGACACAGCAGAGCTCCAAACCGGCGAACGGGGTTATGCTGTGCACGTCGCCCGCCGAACTTCCTGGATGGACAGGTTCCGTTGGGCGACCTCTTGGCGGGAAGGGGGCCGCCGATGGACTGCCGGCTGCCGTGCTGAGCTGGCTTTAAAAGGGCCGCGGAGCAGCAGAAAAATAAAAAAGTTTGCTGTTGCCAGCGACTGCGGGCTTGATGATGAGCAGGGCATTCTACCAATGCATGTGCGATTGGGTCAAGACAAGATGCGCAAAAGCGATAGGGAGAATCAGGGGTGGGCGGACCTGGGAAAGCCTGCGGCAGCGTGGTAAACACGCGTTTTGCCGAGGTTGGCCGCTACCCCTGCGCGCGCCTCGGCTTCCATCCGCAAAGAGGTCTAGGGAGTTTACGGCGGCGCCAGGAACTCTTGCAGCCTCTGCCCCCAAGCAGCCGCCGATCTCAACGCCGACGACGACGAGGCGGCAGTGGCGCGCCTGCGTGAGCTCAGGGTAGGTGTCGCGCCGCTTGCGCCTGGTGGCACTGTCAACGGCCCATCCGGGCTGCGTGTCAGCACGCGGGTGTGGGTCGCCGGACCGGTGTTTTTTTTGTTGTTTTTCTTTCGCGCGCGCCTTTGTGCAACTGCAGACGACGGTCAGAGGGTCGACCCTACAAGAGGCGCACGAGCCTAGTGCTGGGCTTCCGTCCCCGAGACCATACTGGAACGGCAGGCATGCCGACTGGAAGGCCTGTGCCACGGCGCACGCGACCAACCTCCTGAAGACATCGCCAACGACCAGCGCACGCACCCGTCCGTTCCGTTTGCGTAGGGCACGGGTGACCGGCGAGACAATGGTGGCGTCGAGGGCGAGTTGAGCCCCATGCCACAGTGGCGACGACCTCAATGTGCCGCCCGTCCGCGACCGGGACCCGAACATTCATGTCGGCGACCCGAACATTGCGGGGAACATTGCGGGGCGACACGGGCTCCGGCCTCACGGCATGCCCTGGCGACGGCCCATTCGAGTATATTCGAGTGGCAGCGCACGCGTCACGAGCACTCCCGAGGTAGCGCACGCGCTCCGGTGGTCACCCAAAACGTCCAGGCGCCCGTGGCAGCTGCAACACGAGGGGCCAGCGGGAGCGGGAGCCGCAAGCGGCAAGCGTCGGATAGCGTCGGAGCAGGAACACCCCAAATTGCGCGCTGGGAATGACGACGCCGTCATAGGTGGGCGCGACAGTGAGGGCTCACGCGGAGTGAGGCCCGGACTGCGAGAGCAGCAGAAAACAGCAGAGCGCGAGACGCAGGTGTCGGGTCAGCAAGATGCGTCTCGCACACGCGCCGATCACAGGTCCGCAGCGCTGCCATCTCTCAAAATTCTCAGGTGATCGCCAGGCTCATCCCCGATGCCACGAGCAGGGGGGACCGCGTGGGGTGGGCGAAAGTTTCCCACGCAGGGGGCGTGGTAGCCCTCGGCAAAAAGGTGCTCACGTGCCTGAGCCGCAGCCGCAGCCGCAAAAGCCTGGGTAACATGCGGCAGCAGGACGTGGAAGAGGTACAAGTGCAAGAGGACCCGTGCGCAACCGTGCTGTCCAGTAGGAGCATTTGATCTTGTGTTTCGCAACGCGATGCTTGCTGGCCTCAGGCAGAACCCACCTTACAGCCGCTGCTGGCTTACGTGCGCCAGTTCTACGCCTCCAACAGCACATGTGTGTGGCAAGAATCCAACGGGCACACGAGGTTCGGCTATCTGGAGCTCCTGGCGGTCGCCGTTGCAGGCTGGTAGTCATCGGCTTTGAGGTGGGCGGGAGAATGGACCCACAGACCATCACCTTCTTGCGCCAACTCGCTGCGGCCCGGGCACGCGAGGCACCCGCCCGTTTGAGGCCGGCCGCACAACGCAGGGCAGGGTCCACAGATGGACGGGCATGCCGGCGGTGGCGGCCCAGCGCGCGTATGCCGTATCGCTGCTCGATTTGCCGCTGGCAGGGGCGGAGCACGGTGAGGGCGACCCGCCGCTGTGAGGGATCTGCTGGCGGACGCACGTGGTGTGGAGCCCATCCCGGCCAGCTGGTTGCGCTGAGAGGCGGACCTCCGGCATCACCGGCGGGTTGAAACAGGTGCGAGGATGAAGGGGCACGTTGCAAGTGCTCAATGGATGTATGTACAGGTACATACGCTCCAAGCACATTATTTCACTTCATTTGGCGCGGCGCGACTGACGGTCATGCTGATGAGGAGCCTCGCGTGTTCTGACCACGATTGGGTGCATGGATTGGAGCTTAAATGCGCATGTCATGCAATTCGCCAGCAAGACATGCACGTGGCATTTTGCCCGTTCGAGTCGAAATTAGAGTTCCATGAGGACATGGGACTGACCAACATTCATAAGGTTTTGATCTGACACGCAAAATATGTGTTAAGCATTGTGCATCAACATGTTTGCGCTGCGTATGTTGAGTTCCTCGCCGTGGCCGTGCAGGTCGGAGATGTTAGCCTTCTCCTTTCCGGCCGCGTTCCAGATGTGGGTCTTGCCATGGTTGAGTTCGGTGCACGCATGCTCGCGAAATGCCCGTTGGCAGGTGCGCTCCCGGATGCGCTCGGGTTGTCCTGGCGTATACGCCGTGCCTCGTCGGAGACAGCCGCCCCGGGCGTCCGGTCTGTCCTCGGGGGCGCCCCGTGCCGTCCCGCGATACCGGATACACAAGAGTGGCGTCAACGGCGACTTGCGCGCCTTGGTACAAGGGGAGGCCGCGAGCATCCGCTAGCGGGACATCCAGGTTCATGTCCCGTAGCATGACGATGCTGGCCGTGGAGCAGGCCGCGTGGCGGTATCCTGGGGCATCAAGTTCCCCGCCGCATTTGCAACAGCGTGGGGCATGGGGCAAAAATGCGCGCAGGCGGCGCAGCAGCAGGACTCGCATACACTCGCTGGGGAGGCGGAAGGCTGCAGCAGCGGGAAGCGCAGCAGCGGCACGCGCAGCAGCGGCACGCGCAGCAGCGGCACGCAGTCCGCAGGGACCAGCCTGGGACGGAGCAAAGCGCGAGAGGCCGGATCAAGGTCACTCAAAAGGCTCTCGCAGGCTGTCCTGTCGTGGCAAGCCGCGGCGGCACCCAGCTGCGCCAGGCACAACAAAGACGCGCATTTGCAGCGACTGGGATCGACTGGGCGGCGTGAGCAATAGACGCCACGCTAGGTGCCGCCACTTGCCCGCCTTGCGTTACGAGGACGGCCTGTTGCAGGGTTTCGGCCGCGGAGCGGCATGCCTGGCACGCAAAACGGGGAGCGTGTCGGCCCACGACGCCAAGCACGCCGCCACTCGTCCAGTCTCGGCGGACCGGAGTCCGAGCCCGCCCAGTCGGAGAGGAAGCTGCGCCCGAGAGTGAGCGGTTGGTCACTGCCGAGGACATGCGATCACAGCAGCGTCAATCGGCCAAAGTTGAAAAAGCTTTCAAAGGCGCTGCCAGAATCACGGAGCACGTAAACAGGGTTGGCCAGAGCAATCGTGGGCTACAA